AAACATTTTGGTGGCTAGTTGATTGTCCAAGTCAGACAGAAATCTCGTCATAAGTTTCATTCTCCTACATGTGGGTTGTGTGTGAACTTAGATCTTTCTTTTCAATCCTTTAATGTAATATGTAACAAACTCCCCCCCCCCCAGTCTCCCAGCTCAGGCTGGCTGATTTCAGCACCTTATATGATTCCTGTCCTGCATGATGAAATATAGACTGGGAACACAGCTTTTACTCTTTCTTTGGAGTTACATAAAACACCATATAAAATCTTCAAAGCAGCCCAAAAGTATGAGAGTACTGACTTAAAGTTGTAACATTAACAACTGGTTTGTGTGTGTGTGAATGAGGCTAGAATAAATTTTAATAACAAGTGGTGTGTATCTCAGAGCCTAGGCCTAACTGCTGCACCACCCTAATCTTCACACACAGCAATAGCATCATCACGCTCTTCACAAAGCTCTTTGGCACTCTTGTCCATCATCTCCTGAGCAAAGTCATCAATAGGCAACCCCTGCAATTAAAAAATATTAAATTAAAAAAGTATACCTCTAAATTTTTCCTTGAGAACAAGGCACTGTACAAAGATGGTTTATGATGCCATCAGTACAAATCTTCTAGTACTAGTATTATAAAGTTGTACTGGTACAATAAAAATGATATCTAGTACTGGTACAGTGGTGGTTGTCTAGTGAAGTGTGTCAGGCTGTCAAACAAATTCCTCATCATGGGGTTGATATGTCTCAATGTTCACACAATGGTGCGAGTTATCATACATACAGTAGGGCACCACATTATGGTGTTTTGCCTTACAGTGTTCCACTAATATGGACATTTAAAATTATGAGCAAAACTTGCTTTATGGCTCCCCCTACCTGACTAACACAGTCACCACGGGCCACCCGATTTGTTTACATTCTCCATAAGTACATCTCTCCATTATGTCTGGAAATTCACAAAATTTCAAGTGTTTTAAAATTATTTAATATTTTAAATATACACTGATAATTATACTTATGTGTATCTGTACCTAAATAAACTTACACACTGTGCTGGTGTGGAGGTACTCTTTAAAATCACTAAGTGTCTTATTAGTCTTGAAGATGCCATACTGATGATGATAACACAATAATAATCCCTCTGAGACACATTAAACATCGTACATTACGTTAATATAGACATTCTGATTAATCCACCTATGATATTTTTTCAAGATTATATAATAAACACGCTATGTAACACAAACTTGATAAATACACCCACAGTACATTAATATAAATATGAGATATTTTTCCAGTCATCTTGTCAATGTCAGAAAGAATAACATTTCTCTAGTTCAACACCACAGAAAATGTGTACACAACAGTATTACTGGGGGGTAACTGTAGAAAATTATTCCTTTCATATGCCTTCACTCAGAGCATCCCTCCTTCTAAAAATGGTGTTTTAAATGAGAATGGGAATGTTGCTCTTTATTTATTCTACTGTACCAACGTGGAGGCAACTTGTACACAATGTAAGGTGTTTGTATTATGGTAAAAGCTTCACAAACATGGAAATGAACGTGTAACAACCATAACCAGATGTGTTCGCCTGCTTGTTTACATACTCTGCATCAATGTCCGCTCTCATTTACTCATTCTCTCGTTTATTCGTTTTACATTGTTTACTCACCCTCGCCCTACATTATGACTACAAATATTCTAAGGTAAGTAATGAGTCAACTGTATATGGGTTTTATCACTCTAGAGTGTTTTAAATGTATACTACATGTGGGTTGGGTGGCCATACCCACCACACCTAACACCTAAAGTCAGTACCTGACCAGCTGGGCTGTGGCTCGTACGTTGGATCGCGTGCAGCCAGCAGTAACAGCCTGGTTGATCAGGCTCTGATCCACCATGAAGCCTGGTCACAGACCAGGCTACAGGGGCGTTGACCCCCAGAACTCTCTCCAGGTAAACACCTGACTACCATACCTACCACACCTGACCTTTTACAATAAATATTACTCGCCTCTCACCCTACATTAAGACTACAAATATTTTGAGGTAAGTAATGAGTGTACTGTGCATGTATTTTACTTTTTATTGTTTTTAATGCCTAGTTCTATTGCTAACTTAATATATGTTAGTGTAAACTTGTTATCTGACATTTTTATACATTTATAAGTGAAAAAAAGTGTTCTGCTTTCCGGCTGTAGCCTAGAACCTAACCTGCTGTATAAGTGGGGCCCTACTGCAATGAAATGACTAAGATACCAATAAGGACACAAGAATAGAGGAACACTGCAGAAGACCTACTGGCCCATACAAGGCAGGTCCTTATCAATACACAGTGTGAACCAAAAGTGTTAGTGGAATGGCTCTCAAAGATTGTGTTTTTTTTTTTTTTTCAAAAAACTGGCTGCATCCCACAAAGGCAAGGTGACCCAAAAAAGAAAAACGAAAGTTTTTCTTTTTAATTTTAGTAATTTGTACAGGAGAAGGGGTTACTAGACCCTTGCTCCTGGCATTTTAGTCGCCTCTTACAACATGCATGACTTACAGAGGAAGAATTCTATTCCACTTCCCCGTGGAGATAAGAGGAAATGAACAAGAACTAAAAAGAAAATAGAAGAAAACCCAGAGGGGTGTGTATATATATATATATGTTTGTACATGTATACGTAGTGTGACCTAAGAAGAAGTAGCAAGACGTACCTGACATCTTGTATGTTTCTTCTTTCTTTCTTTCTTTCAACACACCAGCCGTATCCCACCAAGGCGGGGTGGCCCAAAAAGAAAAACGAAAGTTTCTCTTTTTAAATTTAGTAATTTACACAGGAGAAGGGGTTACTAGCCCCTTGCTCCTGGCATTTTAGTCGCCTCTTGCAACACCCATGGCTTACGGAGGAAGAATTCTATTCCACTTCCCCGTGGAGATAAGAGGAAATAAACAAGAACAAGAACTAAAAAGAAAATAGAAGAAAACCCAGAGGGGTGTGTATATATGTGCTTGATAAATTAGACACATGTGCAACTCTTGGGTATCTTTATTGAATAAAGATACCCAAGAGTTGCACATGTGTCTAATTTATCAACATGTCGGTTCTCTGAACCATTCATCTACAAATATATGTGCTTGTACATGTATGTGTAGTGTGACCTAAGTGTAAGTAGAAGTAGCAAGACGTACCTGAAATCTTGCATGTTTATGAGACAGAAAAAAGACACCAGCAATCCTACCATCATGTAAAACAATTGCAGATTTCCATTTTATACTCACTTGGCAGGATGGTAGTACCTCCCTGGGCAGTTGCTGTCTACCAACCTACTACATAAAATGTTTTTACACTAACATGTGGTATCCCATGTGAGAAGTGCCACTAACATCCATGTATTCACATACCCCTATCAATATCACCCTCGAACACCCCACCCCCAAGTCGTCTGCACCTGCACAGCAGAAAGGTTAAGTGGAAATCAGGTATCATGGCACTCAGATTCTAAGGAGGATATGGGCAGGATGGCATACAGGAATACCTGTGGGAAATGTGAAAAGATCTTTGAGAAAAATTCCAGAATCACATGCAACCTATATTTTTCAAAACACTATCTCGTGAGCAAGAATAAACACTGCTTCCAAAAATAACACTCAACTAGCAAGGCGTTTCTGGATCTGAAATAAGGATATGGGGCCTTGGACACATCTCAGGAAAGTACTCAGTAGGGTAATAAACAATAAGCAGAAAAACAAAGGCCCTCTTGGATAGTCTACTCAAGATATACAGAACATCGGAGGAAAGTAGAGGAGCAAAATATAACATACAAAATCCCCATATTACAAAAGATGACTTCAAATTAGAGACCCACTGAAAAAAGTATGTGAAACCAAAACATCAGCTAGCTCAGCCCCCAACCTTAGTGCTGATCCAGACTTGAAAAAAGACTACCACAACTACCACTATAGCTGTAATAAAACAGCCAACACTATAGCCTTCTCCCTTCCTCCCATCTCATCACTCATCAATAAGTCTTCAATAAAAGTAAGTGTCATTTTAGCATTGTTCATTCTGCATGTCTCATTGTTTTCTATGTAGGGATATGTATATTTCATGTAAAAAAAATTATTTTGTTAAATACTTTTGAGTGACTGGAACGGATTAATTGAATTTCCATTATTTCTTATAGGGAAAATGAATTCAGATAAAGACAAAAGGGGTGGGGATTTTCTTTCTTTTTCGGGTCACCCTGCCTCAGTGGGAGATGGCTGACTTGTTAAAAAAAAAGACAAAATTGGTTAACCCTTAAACTGTCCAAACGTAGATATATGTTTGCCTGCGCAGTGCTCCGAATGTTTTGAAAAATAAAAAATAATTTTTTTTTTTAAATTGAAAAGTGCATTTTTATAAATGGGTTAGGATAAAAAAAATTTTTTTTTTAGGGTCAGTACTTACTGATTATTATTACTATTATAATCAAAAAGAAGCGCTAAGCCACAAGGGCTATACAGCGCTGCAGGGTAGGGAAGGAAGCAAGGGAATTGGATGGCAGAAGGGAGGGGGGATGATCAGCAGGTTACAGAAAACAGCGGGGCACGGGATAGTACGGGGATAGAGGGTAGCAAGAGATTGAAGTAGAAAGGGCTGAAGGTATCAGAATTTGTGAAGCAAGTCAGTTGTTGTCAAAAAGTCAATGAGAGAGTCCGGATGAAAGGTGGGTCCATCAGCGAGAAGGGAAGGTAAAGAGAGAGCAGCGAAGCGAAGACGACGACAGAGGTAAATTCTGCGTGCTCGTTGATAAAGTGGGCAGTCCAACAGAATGTGGCTGACTGATAATGGAGCTTGGCAATTCTCACAGAGAGGAGCAAGACTCCTCTCCATGAGATATCCATGAGTAAGACGAGTATGGCCAATGCGAAGACAGGAGAGAGTAGTCTCCCAACCTCGACACTGGTGATAAGAAGACGGCCAGTAACCTATACTCGGTTTAATAGATTGAAGTTTGTTGCCGAGCATAGTAGACCAACGTTGTTTTCCAACGGGTGTGAAGGTGGGAAGATATTGCAGTAAAATAGTCCGTAAATGGAATACCTCTATAAGAAACTGGTAGGTCATGTACTGCTGACCGCGCAGCAGTGTCTGCCTGTTCATTGCCCTGTACGTCAACATGACCAGGGACCCAACAAAAAACTATCTTTATGCTTGGTAAAGATGAGGCGTAGCCAAAGTTGGATACGGAGGACTAAGGGGTGAGGTGTATCAAATTTTTGTATAGCCTGTAAAGCACTAAGGGAGTCTGAGACAACCACAAATGATGACACAGGCATAGATGCAATACGGATAAGTGCTGTAAGGATGGCATATAATTCAGCAGTAAAAATACTAGCCGAAGATAGTAAATGCCCTTGTACGACACTGTCCGGAAACACTGCTGCGAATCCTACGCCGTCAGAAGACTTAGAGCCATCTGTGTACACAGCAATGGCATGAGAACGAGAGTGAAAGTGGTCAAGAAAAAGAGAGCGGGAAGC